AAGGGAAATGGGCGCAGCTCTTGAGAACTAACCAGAGTCCCAGGCACTTGACAAGCTTGAACGCTTTGGAAAGTTTTAAAGCCGGCTTCCCTCGTTCCCTAAGCGCCCGCCTAACTACTTCCCCGGGGTTGGGGGGCTGCTGGCCGAGGGGCGCTCCGAGACGAATCTTTCCACGTCCACGACGGACGCGCCGCCCCCCGCTCGCTCCGAGGGCTCCTGCCGACCGCCGCGCGCGCCCGGCCGGCCCAGCCAGCCCCGGAACCCGAGGGGAAGTGTCCTCTCCCCGAGCTCGAGCTCCGCGCCAGGGCGCTCTCCCGACACTGCCAGTTAGGAGGGTAGGGTGGGGGGCGGCCAGTGCTCCGCTAGGCCCGGTGGCCCCCACCCCGCCACCCCGCTTCCTCGGTAGCAGCCGGTCCCGAGCAGAAACTCTAGCCTCACACCTCCCCTCGCGGCCGTCGGGGAGGAACTGGGGCATCCCTCCCACGCCCATCCCGCAGCGCCATTTTCCGCCTTGGAGAGCTTTCGGCGACCCGGAGTTGGGAGAAGCCTAGGTCGACCCTCCCCACCCGTCTCGGGTTCCCGCGGCCGGCAGCCTGGGCGAGATGATGAAATACGCCCTGGGACGCTCTACCTCCGGACTCTCCAAACTTTGGCAAAGTCTCAGGAACATTTGTGCTCCCCCAGGACTGGCTCCTTCGCCTGGCTTCGAGTGCGGGGTGTCCAAATTCTTTGTCCCTAATTACGCCGCGCCCCTCCCTTTCCCAAGGCCCTTTGAGGCTAATCTTCAGCTTTCAACGTTCCCCTCCAGCCTGAAAGCGTCCGCCGCCGAGAGCGACCCCAGGCGAGGCCCGGGAGGAAGAGCAGGGTGAGGCATTGACAACCCCCGCCCCGGCGCGAGGCTGACCCAGGCCTTGCGGGTCTGGGCCCCGCGCGCTTTTTGCAGGAGAGAGCCCCTGGGGATGGGCGCAGGGCACGTTGCCACGCCTGAAACAGACGTTCCCCTTTCCAGATTATATTGCTCGCAAAAATCTAACGGCAGCACATCGTTTGGGTGAGTTTCCATTTCACCCGCGAAAAGCGCAGATTTGTTTTCAAAGTGGACTCCAAATCCAGGTTTCTCGTGCGGGGTCCCGAGGTGTGCATGCACAAGGCTCCACTTTCAATGGCTCAGCGAATTGCTCTGTTGTGTGACGTGGTAGACAAGTTAGTCTGAATCTAGCTCAGGCAAAGCATCATTTGCAAATGCAGAGTTGCTTTTTTTTTTTTTTAAGAAAAGAAAGAAAAAGTAGGTAGGCTGTTAAAGACAACATGTGAGCTTTCAAAGCCGTGTGTGTACTTTTGTTTTAAGTAGGGTGGGAAAAAAAGGGCAACATTATAATTAAAGACGCTAGGTTTGGCAAGATAGTCTAACGTGCCTCACCTGGACAAAAATAAGTTAGAAGGGCATCAGAACGGCGGCACTACAGGAAATCGAAGAACCCGCACAATGAAAAGTTTATTTTAATATATAAGTTGCGTCAGGAACAACTTTTGCTAAGCATTTGAGAGAAATAGAAAGTTGTTTTAAAAAGTAGCATAGCCTGAGTCTATTCTCACCTGTAGATCTTCTCTCTTTGTAAATTGTATAAAGAAATTAGGGTGACTGGGACGGGGTTTTTTTTTTCTTTTTTTTTTTAACAGTATTTTGGTATTTTCAGTTGTAGTGAAGAGGGGTGGAATAAAAATGAACAGAGCTAGTCTGGGATTGACTACTGTCCCTTACCGTCAAAACGTTAGTGGGAAACCAAAACTGGTTCCTGAGGTTCGCTTAATAAACTTATTTTCGCGTCTTAAAACATTATAGCAGTTTGTGAACATTGTTCCTGAAATGAATACCTGGAGGTAAGGCTAACCACTGCAAACAAGGACGTAATTCCAAGCCTCCATAATCCCATCGTGGCTTTTTCTGTAACAAACAAGAGGACGCGCTGCTGAACCGCTTCTGCCCGCAGGTTGGAGGCTGATAGCTGTCCCTGGGTGCCACCGAGAGAAAACCCAGACCCAGCGCCTCGCGTGGCAGACTGATTCCAAATTTCAAACTTACGATCAAATGATTTTTCAACACTTCCTAAAGTTTACGGATAATGCTATAATAAATGTGTTATTAAATAAAATAAAGTTAGGGGTTTATTAGGGTGAGTTGGGGCCCTCCCAAGCTTGGAGTACAGAAACTCCCGCATCTGTCGAGCAGGCCGATGACCTTCCAGTGTTGGTTCCCGCGGGGAAGGGCGGGGACAAGCTTGGACGACTGGTGGCTGACCCTCCTGGGACCGGCTGCCCTCCCCGAGGGGTGCTAGTGTGTGTGTACCCCGTGAAGATATTTCCTTGCCTTCCCATAACTGACGAAGGCCATGACCCGTTAGGCCGCCCACACGCGCCGCCCGCCGTCCGAAGGCGCTCAGGCCCTCTTTGGCCCCGCAGGGAGGGGCCCCAGGGGAGGGGACTCGCTCCAAGTATGCCACGAAACTTTTCCGAAGTCTTTGGAACGTTTGGAATCTATATTTTGCTAGAAGCCGGGCCGTTTATTCTGTATCAGTGGGGCAATAATTCCTCCGAGGGCCTCCAATTCCCAGTGGCCTGTGCGGGACCTGGCCGCGCGCTCACTCGCTAGCCCGGGCCTCCCGCTCAGCAGCATCTGATGACGGATGGGAGGGGAGTGGGGGTTACACTAGACCCCAAACTACAAGGCTTCTCCTCCGAGCCCACACGGGACAGTCCCAATCAGTCTCGAATTGCAGTTCCAGACCCAGGTCTCGGTGGGGCTGCTATATTCACTTTAGCCTCGGGGTTGTGGGCGTGGAGAGCGACGGGGCTCCCGGTAGCTGCAGGACGCCCTGGAGGACCACCTCCCCGTTAGGTCTCCGTATTGCTGGGGCCCCTACTCTAGTTCCCCGAGCCTGGACCTTGACCTCCCATCTCCGCGCTCGCCGAAGCCGCAGCTCTGGATGCGCGAAGTGAGCTTTCGTTTTGCTTTCGCTCCCTCCCCTCGTAGCTGGGAAGGCTTTGGAAGAAGAAAGTTGGGGTGAGAGCCTACATGCTGACAAAGTGGTGAGGCCCCCGCGCTGAGGCCCAAAGTTGGGGAAAGGTTGAAGCTGAGGCCTTGCCCACCCAACCCTCCCATCGTTTCCTGGCCTGTGCAAAAAGGGCCTGGAAATGCGGTTTGAAGATATTGGTAACAACTCAATTGGCCCGGGAACGAATCATCCTTCGGATGCCGGCTGTATCTTTCAAAGGCAGACGGCCTGGCCCAGGAGACTCGGGGGGAAGAGCAGCGAACTCGGGCCTTTCACTAGGTCGTGAGCAAAGGCTTGGACGTCACGAGCCTGAGAGCGCACTGAACACTGCCACGTGTGAGGAAACCCCCAGCCCGCCCGTGCAGTTTACTGCAGGCCCACGGAGCTCTACGTTTTGGAAACCCGGCCCCAGCCCCCCAAGTGCGCCGGCTTGAGTGGTTCTATCTCGCGCAGCTCTTCTGGGTGCACCTGGTTCACTTTGCTTATCTGCTTGGGCAGTCCCTCTCTGGAGACCTGGAAAAGTTTCTCAAACTCAAGCAAACAAACGGACGGACGTCTCGTCCGGTCCGTGCGAAAGTGCTTCCAGGCATAAATAAATCCTACGCTGAACTAGGAAGCCCCTGCCTCAGGGCCGCAGGATGCAGCCCCCACCCCCACCCCCAGCCTCTCTCGGCCTACACGTGCTCCCGGACCGAGGTTGGCAGCTAGGGAAGTTTCTCTTACTCCTTAGCAAAGGCGTGATCTTCCCAGACTGTTTTCCAACTGGGAAACTGCTGCCGGAAAGGTCCGACGCCTTTCCTGTATCGTCCCAGCTCAGCCCCGGCTTTCCTCCCCCAGTGACCTGATGGGCCCAGATTATTCCGACTCTCGGGCATTCAACTGCGCTCCAAATCCCGTAAGGACCTAGGCCCGTGGGCCAGTGACGCTCACTCTCGCTGTTTGCACTTGGCGTTCCTTGGGAGGCCTGACTCGTCTCTAACCGCCCGGCTTGTTTACATTAGTCTCAGGAACTGAGGCTGGAGGCCGCTCAGGAGCTCAGTTTCATTTCGGGGCCTATCATTTCGCCATCGGGTTTTGGAGGCAAGTTGGACCGTTTTAGTCACACATCTAACTCTTGAAGCAATTCCTCAAAGACTCGATCCGCGTCGTCCCTGCCACGGCAGCCGGGCTCTTGCAAACCGCTCGGCCCCGCGCTCTCCGGGAAACGGGAAGAGAACTCGAGCCGCGCCCCGCTGCACCTGCGGGGGAGCGAGAGCGTCTCCGCGCCGCACGGCACGTCGGCACCCGGCTCCGGAGCTCTCGGGCCAGCCACCCCCGCAGGCCCGTCGCGCCTGGTGCCGGGGACCTGTAGGGTGTGCCAGCCCACCGCCCCCAACCCCTGCGCGGGAAGGGGGGTGGAGGAGGCGGGGACGAGCGCACGCACCCTCGGCGAGCAGGGCGGTGGCGCTCGCTGAGCGGGAGCGAGGGAAAGGGGGGAGCGCGGGACGCTCGAGAGTCCACGCACTCGCCGCCGCCCCCACCCCGCCCGGTGGCTCGGGTGCGAGTGCCCCCGCCGTGCGTCGACGTTCGGGCCACGGCCGGAATCGGCGAGCCGGGCACTGCACTGAGCGGGGGGAAGCTCGGAGGGTTGCACGGAGCCCCCGGGAGCTCGTTTTCCCGGGCGGGCACGTGACAGGGTTGGCAGCTCTCCGGACCAGGCCCGGAGGTTGGGGGGGCGGGGGCTGGGGGGGAAACGGCGAGCGGGAGGCGGGGGTGCGGGCGGCCGGCGCGCTGTGTACTTAGGTCGTGTGCTGGGGCTTTTCTCTCCCGGGAGCCGGCGGGGGAGGGGGAGGGGCCACCGCTCCGCCTTCTCCTTTTCGCAATGTTGACGCAATCTATAAATAGTGGAACAAAAGACCCAACTTCCTCGGAGCTTTGCTGAAACTGCACAAAAAAAATCGAGCTGAGGGGTTCCCTGGTCCCCGCGTTGGGGCGGGGAGCGCGGCGCCGGGGGAGGGGGCGGGAGCGGCGGCGCGGGCCCCCCGGAGGGGGCACCTGGTGGAGGCGCCGCCACCCGCCGCGCCAGCGCCGCGCGAACCCAGGGCCCGGGCCCCTGCGCGGGCTCGAGAGCTCGCCCGGCCGGGGGGCTTCCTTCGCCGCCGCTGACAGGTTAGTCCGCACCGCCCCTTTCCACGCCGGGGCGATGTTTTGTTTGCTTTGGTTCTCCCCCTCCCCACCCCCAAGCCTCTACTTTTAGAAGGGAACTCAGGGAGAAAATAGAACCAGGCGCGCAGCAGTGACAGCCACAGAACCTGCAACCCCGCAGCCCCGGCGGCGCGACCGAGAGGCGCGAGGGAAAGGTCCGCGCCTGGCCCCGCGTCGGACGGTGCCGCCCGCGCCCGAGCCGGCAGGACGCGCGTGTGCGCCGCTCGGGGCTGCGGGGGCCGCGGGGGCGGGAGCGCCCGGAGAACGCGGGGTCGCGGGCGGGCGTCGATCCCCCGCAGAGACGGGCCGGGCCGGGAGGCCGCAGAGCGCGCCTCGCCCTCTCCGAGCTCGGACCCGGCGTCGTCGCCGCCTGGTCCTGCGGCGCCCGCCCGGAGGAGGCTGGACTGGAGGAGCGCCGTCGCCGCACGCTCCGCGCGCCCGAGCGCTGGAAGCGCGCGCGGCCCGGCGCCGGGGCCGGGGGAAGACAGGGAGACGGGGGGCACGGTCTGTGCCCCGCTCTCGCGACCCGAGCCCGAGCGCCCGCGGAGCAGCCGCGGCGGCTCCTCGGGGGCGCGGGGGAGGGGGCGGAGCTGGCGCTGTTGACAGCCCCGCAGGAGCGGGGAGGGCAAAAGTTGGGGAGACGGGGCGGGGGAGGTGGGAGTCGGGCTGGGGGAGGGAGCGCGCGCGCGGGATTCGGCAGGGAGCGGGGCCGGTCACGTGACGGGCAGACGCCCCCGCGACAGGCTCCCAGCAGGTGACGTCACCATCCCCTGACTGCAGGGGGTGGCACTTCCGCTCCCGCCCCCCTTCGCCGCTCCCCTCCGGACCCCCAGCCTCGCCCCCCTGGTGCCCGAGGCTGCAACCGTTCCGCGGAGGGCGGGGGCGGAGGGGCGCCCGGCGGGTTCCTGGCGATCCACGCGGAGCTGCAGTTCCAGCCGCGGAGTCCCTGGCGGGATTGAGCGGGAGCCCGGGCCGCCTCCTCCCGTCGCGCCCCTTTGTGTGAGCCGGAGACTCGGGCGGTGGCCGGTGCCGGCCCCCCGCGGCTCCTCGCTCCGGAGGGGGCGGGGACGGGCCCCGAGCGGTCAAGTCCAAGTCCAGCCGCGTCCCCGCGCGCGCGCGAGAGGCCGCAACTCTTGGCCATTGGCCGGGCCCGCGCGCGTCCCCCGGGGCGGCTGGTGGCTGGGGACGCGCTCAGTGGCGCTGGCCAGTGCTCCGACCCAGTGTGTGTGTCTATGTGTGTGTGTGTGTGTGTGTGTGTGTGTGTGTGTGTGTGTGTGTGTGTGTGTTGGGGGGGGATAGGAGTTTATTGCCTCTCTGGGGGGACGGTCTTCAGCAGTCGTTATAAGCTATTTGGGGAAACGGGGTTTTGGTGACTCAGCGCGGAGAGCGCTATTTATAAGTAGATGCGTTACTAGCGGGGAAATACACTTTGCTCAGATCTGAGCCCAGGATAGGGAAAGAGTTCAGTCGGGAGAAAATTAAGACTGAACTTCTGAAAAAAAAAAAATTAACGGTTTGACTGTTCGAACCCGCAGGTGTAGTAGGTCTCATTCATGAGCAGCATATTAATTGGAGTACGGTTAATCTCAAAAAATTGAAACAGCTGCCAGGCTAGATGGAGAATTTTAGGAAGACGTTGGGGTTAGCTGCCAGGTTTTTTTTTTTTTTGAGTGTTATGTGAACTAGGAGCAGCTAGTTCAGAGAAATGACCCAGCAATTTTCTCAACAGATTGTAGAAAGTCCAAACTGTGCTTATCAGTTACAGGTCTTATTAAATACGGAACACCTTGTAACAATGAGGCGCACAATAAAGGTAAATTTCCTGATGCTGAAAATTTCTGTACAGTAACTGTTACTGTTACTACCATGTTACTGTTCTGTAACTGTTACTACCATGAGAAATCTGCTGGGAAGAGTAAATTACAACAGCCACCTAATATCTCCCAAGAAAACACTACAGAAATCTACATTACTACCCGCATGTACAGAAATGTACATTAGAGCTTGGAGCTTGGGTACTAAGTGCTGGAAACAACACCTTGTTTAACAGTCTATTTTTTGTTTTGTTTTTTCTCCCACTCCAATCCTCATTTAGAAATGTCCAGAGAAACAGCAGCAGTTTGCTAGAGCTACCCCTTTTGCCCAGTTTTCTGTAGATGAGTGACCTGAAGTATTTCTTAAAAGAGGTGGATTTGGGGGGCCAGTGAAGTTAGGCCTTTAAACATCCCAAGCTGAGCAAGCAAAGCAGCATTCCCTAAAGGAAAGTATGGGTAGGAAGTCAAGGAGTGAAGAGAGGAGAATGGGAAGGGAAATTGGCCTATTACTGGGTGCAGGGCTTTGTATTTATTCCATGCTAAGAATTTTATTTTTGCCTGAGAGCTATAAGTTTTTGCTGGACTCACATACTCTTTTGAGAACCAGTGGAAAATAATGTGATCTTTTTTCTTGAAAATGTACCTTGCAACCCTATACTATAATTTTGCATATACTGTCAAGTGGTTTATTCCATAAGTAAATGACTCGGCCTCAGGATTAAAACCTGAAGGAGAGGGAGTCATGAAAGGATGTTTAAAAATATAAATGTGTGAGTATAAACATTTGCAGGTATTTGGGAAGATCACACTATGGGGGTCCCAGAGTCAAAGATGGATTATGAAATAGCTTGTGATCTAAGAATTGTCTAGGAGAATCTTGACTGTACCTAAGTGACAGTGGGGATACAGAGAAAACATAGCAAAGATTTTTTAACAGGGTTGATAGAATGGGCAACTGATGGACTGGGAGGGAAGGGCAGGAAATTCCTACGTCTCTGGGCCAGTGTGAACTAGCTAGGGAGGTGAAGGCCTTTGGTAGAAGACCTCCAGCTAATTTCTGGGAACTTGAAGTAACAAGGAGCTTTAGTCTTGGAAGGTTAGAATTAAGGATGGCTTCTTGGAGTCAGGGAACTGTAGCAGAGTCCTTAAAACCCTCTTAACCCGGAGAGAGGTTAAGGTGGACTTTCTAGGAAGTCAAGTGAGAAGTGTAGGAAGGGAGGCCCGGGGAGCACCAACATTTAGAGAGAAGGGGACAAGCCAGAGGAAACTTGCATCACAGTGATGTGATGAAAGCAGTGTCCCTAGTATAACTTTGTAAATCCTGATTCCTTACAAGGAATGAAAATATATATTGCTGGGTTGGTTCCTTTATAAGACTGACTTTCTGTGAAAAAGAAGCACCTACCCAAAAGATTCTAATTTGAAAGGGGAAGGGAGGAGAGAAGAGGATTAAATCTTGTTTTCCCCTACTTTTAAAACTGGACTATCGAGAGAAGAAAAAGTAAAATGGAGGGAATCAAACCTCTCTTTGTCTTTCTTGTCCAGTTGTTAAACCTTCGAGGAGAGTTTGCATATAGTCTCTGTAATAGTTTTTTGTTGTTGTTCCCATCAAAACCGCATCTAATCACTATCAATTAGTACTTCGAGGTACTAAAATTTCAATTGGGTTTAGGAGACCAGGAAAAGGGGGGGGGGGGGGGGCAGGGCTCGAGGGAAGGATTTCTTTAACTTTCTCCATCTCCTTCCTACTTGGTACAATTAACTTGAACTAGAGATTTATTTGAAGCAGAGATTTAAGTACATAATAAACCATCACAGCATTCACTGTTTTAAAATGACAACGTTACTTTACTCATAAATATGCAATTTGGATTGAACTCTGCAGGGCAGCTTGTTTCTAATCCCCTTGGCGTCGGCTGGGGCAGCTCCTAGGCTAGAGGCTTGCATCATCTGAAGGCTTGTTCACTTGTGTGTCTAAGGATTAGTACTGACTGATGGCTGGGACCTTTGCTGGGACTCAAGCCAGAACAACGACCTATAGCTTCTTCTGCACCCGACCTAGCCGGGTTCAATCTCCAGCACCATTTGTGGTCCCTGAGCACTGCCAGAAGTGATTCCTGAGTACCACGAAGGGCAGCCCCCAAACAAAACAAAGTCTCTCCTTGTGGTCCAGGTTCCTCACAGCAGGGCTGCTGAGACTTAGAAGAAGCTATATCATTTTTATGACGTGGATTTCAAGGTCATACAGTAGCCTTTCTATCACATACTAGAAGCAAATAAATAATGCCATATGTATTCTAGAAGGGAAAATGGACTCCATTTTTAGTGGGAAGAATTTCAAAGAATTTGCAGTGTTTAAAATACTGAATCCTGACTGCAACTAGATACAATAAAAATCATATGCATACCATTTTGTATAAAAATGTTTAAACCTGCTTTTTTTCTACTAGAGTAAAATGTTTTTTAAAATTCAGATATTTCATTGTCCCATCAGAGTTAATCTGAATAGCAGTTTGACTCATGCACTCCCCTCTCCCTTCTGCCCATTCATTTTCTAGATTGGTTCTCGGGGACACAGGCGTGTCTCTTTCCCACGCCAGGATACCCCTCCCCCTGCCACACACCAGCTATGTCTCAAGAGCGAGGATCAGATCACAAAAGTGTTTCTGTTCCCTCTTTGAATTGACCCTGACTGGATTTCACTAAATCCTGGGCAATAAAAACCCTTCAGTGACATAAATCCTAATTTATCAAAGTTAGAATGTGAAATACTATTGGAGATTATTCCAATTAGTGATTGGGGGGCCAAGAAGTGCCTAATGGAGCCTAGGGTCACTCCCAGTGATTCTCAGTCAAGTGGTAGGATCCAGGGATATCATGTTGCTAGGGATCTGGGAAGATAGGTACCATGAGGACCATGCTGAGGCCTCTAGAGTCATTACCCCTATACTGAGGGAGAAAAGATGTACCAGGGATCAATTGGGCTCAGCCACATGCAAGGCTTTCTCCCCTATCCTTAAACTGTCTCCCCAGCATCCAATGAGGGATTTTGTAATAAATGTTTTAGATGTCATAATTTTGACTATGATTTGAGCATGTTTAGCTACAAAACTTTCTAACAGGATGGTTGAGATCTAAGAATAAGACTTT